AAATAAAGATCAGGTACGGCGAAAAACAAGACGTTAGATTTACTTACCTTCCAAATCCTTTAATATACTATACGGCGCAATAATTCGGACCGAAGCGACTGCTTTTCTCGCCAAAACAAGCGTTTAGACCCTAAGCCAGCATTAGTTATAAATTATGCCGCTGCGGTAAACCGCGCCAATGGTCGAAACCCGTTTTGTGGTATTTTATGGTGATAATTACGAGTTACGAATGCTTTATTCGTGATTACTATTAATGTAGTTAAAAATGAAAAGTTAAATTTTTACACAGACACCTTACTTACGAGTTTCTCCTTAAAAAACACGATAATGTTCGAAAATTAAGTAGACGCATTTTAAAGTATTTTTCTCTAATCCTTTTTTCTTCGTCCAACACGGAAGTAGCAATAAGTTGCCTTTGAAGATAGAATAAACACCATAAATAGATTATTGAAAACATTAAAACAAAGTTAAAATTGATCAAACGTCGACCTTTTATTTTAGGATCCGGCGTTTCTTACATTAAAACAACGATAAAAAATTTTTCTTACAATAATTATCGCGTCTCGTAGCCATATCTAACCACCGCTTCGGGTATTGGCAAATAATTTTTGCAAATATGTCTAGTTAATTTTCGATTGAAAATAGTCCCGGGTTGTATCGTTATTACGCAAATAATGCACGATTTTTATACGATAATGTTTGGTAATATAAATGTAAGAATATCGAACGCATTTCCCACCCTCGGAAGCGCTAGCAAATCGCCTGGGTAACTGGACATTCGAACTTTGCCTAAATTCGCCTTCGTCCGTCCTTCCGGGTTCGTATCGAGTTTCATTTTTTTCTTTGTCCTTCTTCCGCCCGCGTCGTTTTTTGACGAATTAACAATTAATCAACGTACGATTATTTACGTTTTGTCGAAATTGTTACGTGTCGTTTAAAGTGTTCCGTCCGATCAGAATTCAATTAAAGAAAAACGTGCCGAGTACTTCCCCCTAACGAACATTACGTCCCTTCCATCTATAGAGTGAGAGAAGGTTTTAGTCTCGAACCCTGTCTTTTCCTGTAAGTAACCTTTCAAAAATAATGTCCAGACAATACAGTAATACCCCGAACTTACGCGATAGGCGGGACCGAGCGGTAACCGCGTAAGTCGGGGTATAATTTCGCATATAAATACATACAGATAATTTTCAATTGGGGCCGGAGACTAAAGAAAACAACAATTTAGAAAAAAATGTTTAATAAAATCTTACATAATACATATGTATAACATATTATATTATTTTACAATTTTTCACATTTACTCGATTATTACGCCATAATTTTAACATTGTTTCCATTTCGGCGATAATACTGTGACGTTTACGAATGATGCTCGAATTTAAAGATTGAGCATTTTTTACAGCTTCGAGAATTTTTTCTTTGCCTTTTATAATCGTTCCGACCGACAATTCCGGTAGATCAAACTTCTTTGACAATTCACAAATTTTCATTTTTGTATCCAAGTCTTTAATAATGGGTACGTTCGAAAAGTCAAACGAAATAGGAATAACGATGACGTCATTCTCGTTTAAGTCGTTCGACTTTACGAACGTACCCAATGTTAACTTTACATTCCAAAGATAAAGTTTTTCGTTTCTTGTTTGATGCGGAAGAATCAGTTCTACTTCGTTTGGATGACGTAGTAGAGTCGCTCCAGTCTCCGTAGATATAACAAACACAGAAATAAATAACACAAAATAAATTGTAGCTATGCGTCGATTCCGCGCGACACGTCCGAACACGTAAGCCGAACAATAGTGTGGGGGGAGTGAGTAATCGAGGGTCGCGTGGCGCTCAAACAAAAGACGAATCGACGAGATTTGAAAATCGTGTAACTCCGGGTTCCCGCCAGTAGCGGCATAATTTAGAACTAAGACTTAGTAGACTCTAGACCGGGGGTGGCCAATCTTTTTTACGCTACGCGCTAATTTTTTGACGGACGAGTTCGGATGCGCCGTATAATTCGAGTACTTCTTATACCGTCTTACGTTGGTGATTAGGGGTTGGTAAATAGAAATAAAGATAGAATCTTCTTCGTTTAGGGAAGGAAAAAGCATATATTTCAACTCGTCTCGATCCCGAGTTCAAATATATACTGAAAGTCCCGAAATTCCATCGGTGGTAATCTATAGTACAGCCAAAGATTTTACTGGTTACTAGCATTCGGAGTTTTTTCTTTAAAGCCATCTCTACCGTCAGAATTAAGCTTTTGCTATTTTACAATAATTTAATACGCGTTTTAAAACAAAATCTCATAACGGCCGGAAAAGTTAGACAACCGGTGGCTAATTTTTTAACGCATTTTGTAGAAAATAAAGGCCGAACCATCTAATTATTCTACGCAGGGAATAAAACCGTTTACGCTCAAAAAGGGTGGTAGGAGGCGGGGCTTCCCAGACTCCGTTTCTAGCTTCCCCTCTTACCGCAGAAAGAATCGGGCGGGTCCACTCCGAATTAACCTTCTCGGTTTCTCCTTGCTTAATTCCCGCGTAGAATAATTAGAAGATGGTTCGGCTATCTTTTGTTTTTTTAAACACTTTTCGTAGAACCATGTAGATCTCGTCTTTTACACTTTCTGCAGAAATGCGAGGAAGCAATAACGGTCGACCTACGAAATTAACACGATATACTACGCGCGGTGGCGCATCCGGACCCCGGCGAATTCTCCAGAAATCGTTTCCTAATTAAAATTCATTTTTTAAACGTCTGTTTCTATATTACTCGCCAATTAACGGCGACGTAAGTCGGGCATTTTAACTCGGTTCCCCGAGATTAAATTTCCAGCGCGCCGTTCCGCGTTTACGGTTTGCACCGGTTACGTCAAATCATCATAAACGATATTAGTAAAAATACAACGGGAAGTGGCAGTAAGTTCCCGGGCCGCTCCATCTGTCGACAAGCTATATAAATAACTCGCCAGTCGTTCCGCCCGGGCCGCGCCGCGCCGACGACAATCCCAACCCGGCCATTGCCAAAATCTTGGCTTTTCACCGTTTTATAAAGTCGTCGGTTTCCAACTTTTCGGAAAAAGCGTTTAAAGCGAGACGCGGTAGTTAGGAAAGGAAAGAGCGCGGGCGGTTCCTTTCTTTCTTCCCACTTTTCCTTTAGACCGTGAAAATCCTTTTGCGCATTACATGGAGGAAGAACTCCACTCCGCCGTCCGTTTCTCCCTACCGCCACCCATTAAACAGAAAAAAAAAACTGGCGGAGTCCGTTCCCGGACCACAAATAAATAATTATAACGGAAGAGAATTAGGGCTGGCCGACCGCCCCGTCCGAGAATAGATTTTGGCCCGGCGGTCCGTTTATTTACTCGCTATTTACCGTCCGGGACAAGTGGAAGACGCGACACAATACAAATTAAAAACAAGAATTTTAATTAGGAAAAGTCGCTACAGACTTTTCCTTTCGACCCTCGTCCGAAGGGAATTACCCATTTTCTTCTCTCCTCCGTCGCCGCCCGGAACGGTCCGACTCCGTTCTTCGGTTTTTATTACGTAATTATTTTCGGGTATTTGCATCCGCCGGTTTCCTTTTCCGACCGGGAACGCTCGGCATATTTCCGTAAAAATAACCCCCGGGCCAACGTCGATTACAAAAATGCGTTTTTCGTTCGTCGGTCGGCCTCTAACCCTAGTTCTTCGGAGGGTTTCGTCCCTTCTCCTCCCGGTTCCCCGCCGTCTTCCCTTATCGGGAAGAAGTCGAAACCCTAGTCGCAGCCCCGTCGTTTCGTAAAACGCACCTGCGTCGCGACTCCGCTTCTCGGCGGAGATCTAAGACGACGACGCGCCACGTTTCTTATTCGTTTAACCGGACGGCCTCATTTTTCTACCGGTCCTATCGAAAAATCTCGTCCGCCGTATTCGGGAGACGCACGAAAGTCCCTCTGCCGGCCTTACCTAACCGCGGCCGCCGGCCGAAATTCCGCCCTTTTCCCGACTGGGGGATTACGTAACGCCTCCGCCGGTAATTAGCGTAATCGTTGTCGACCGGCGCGCGACCTCCGCCCGCTTATTTTCGCGCAGTCGAAAATAAACGTCGTTCTCGTCTCCCGGGAGGGAGGGAAAACTCGTCCGCCCTCCCTCCACCTGCCGCCCGTCGATTATTTACGCCGCCGCCAACACCCGACTCCCTCCGTTTATTTACCTTTTAAAGAGCGCCGGTAACCAAAGTATTTTTAAACGCGGGACGGTCGACTTCCACCCGGGAGGAAATCTCCTTTCTTTCCGGTCTTCTCTCCGCCCCTCTTATTTTCCGGCTGATCGGCGCCCGTTATTAAAACGGCTAATCGGGTTTTCCCTCTCCCGGCCGCCCGGGCCGGGTCCGATTCCCCTCCGAGACGACAGGACGGAGGGGGAAGCGCGGAAAGAACCTTGCCAAAGTCAACCCCATCCGAAAATACCGCGGGTCGGAGAAAGGTCGCGCAAAGGTCGCGGTTCCCCCGCGTTAGCGAAGTGCGGAAGAATGCGCCCGCCTCTTCCGCGGTAGAAACGGCTCCCTCCCACGCGCCGCTGGCAGCGCCGACGAAAGCCGACTCCGATCGACCTTTCCAAGTTTGGCGCCTCCGCCCCCTCCCCGGCCCGGACGTATTTTTGGAATCGCGGGTTTAACATATCGACGCCGCCCGCCGCTCCGTCTTCACTCTTGTCGATCCACGCTCTCGTCTACACGCACCTTTCCGACGACATGGCAAGCAGAGGACCCGCTTACGGTCTCAGCGCCCAAGTGGCCAACAAGGTGAGTTTCCCTTCCTCCCTCGCCTTTCTTTCTGCCGAGATAAAAAAAAATCCGTCCCTCTCCCGCAGCTGGCCAGCAAGCGCGACCCCGAACTGGAGAACGAGATCATTCACTGGATTCAGGAGATAATGGGACAGAAGCTGCCCAACGGACCCTACGAAGAAGTTCTGCGCGACGGAACCGTCCTTTGCAAGTAGGCCCTTTCCTATCCTTCTCGCGGCCCGCTCGCTCGCTCGCCCGCCTTATCTGATCCGCGCGGCCTCTTTTCTTTCAGCCTAATGAACAAGTTGATGCCCGGATGCATCCAGAAGATCAACACTTCCGGAGGACAGTTCAAGATGATGGAGAACATCAACCGCTTCCAGGAGGCGGCCAAGAAGTACGGGGTGCCCGAGATCGACGTCTTCCAGACGGTCGATCTGTGGGAGAGGAGGAACATTCCTCAGGTCACGCAGTGTCTCATGGCACTGGGAAGAGCGGTAAGTCTCCCCTCCGGTCACTTTTATATCCCGGGACGAGCTTTCTGACCGCCGACGCGTCTTTTCAGTGCTACACGCACCCGGAATACCAAGGACCCTGCCTGGGCCCCAAACCCTCGGAAGAGAACAAGAGAACCTTCACGGAAGAGCAGCTGCGGGCGGGAGAGGGCATCATCAACCTGCAGTACGGAACCAACAAGGGCGCCACCCAGAGCGGACAGAACTTTGGCAACACCAGACACATGTGAAGACCTCCTCCCAACGGCTCGCGCTTCGGCTGTTAATTTGTAAAAAATGGTGTAAAATCGCTTGCGGCGCCGCGCGCCGCGTCAGTTCCGCGCTTCGCCGTCTGTACGAGAAATTCTAGCAAATAAAGATTTGTACTTCCACCCCGTGCCGTTTCCTAATCGAATGGAGAAGGGCGTTCGCACCCTCTTCCGCCGGAAATCGGTACCGCGCGCGGGAGGGGACCGGACGACTTCCGGCCTGGGGGAGCGGAGAGAAATACTTAATCCCGAAGTAGGTAAACGACGACTTAGCAGTCCGGCCGGCGCCTCCATCCTCTCGAGAAGGGAAAGAGACGAGAGAGCGATTACAAAGAAATCGTTTATTGTTTAGACGGGGCCGGCGTCCGGAGGTCGGCCCCGACCGGAAATGTACAAAGAGCGGAGTTATAAAAACAGAAGCCTCCTGAGCAGAAGGGCGGCGATCAGGGCGCCCAGGGCCCAGACGGCGGCGGTGTAGGGACGTCGAGATCCGGCGGGCGCTTCGGCGGGGGACCCCGCCTCCTCCTCTTCCTCTCTTCCCTCCGGGCGGGCCTCCGACTCCCGGAAGCCACGGGCGGGGGGCGAGGGCGCCGATTCCCGCCGGGCGTCCCCCGGGAGAGTCGGGGCTTCCGGCGTCCGCGTCGACGCGTAGTTGGTTCGGTAGGATTCTCCCTGCCAAGAAAAAAAAAACGGAAAGGTAAGTCACCGGTGTCTCGACCCAGTCCCGGTCTTAAGGACGGTGGGACGGAGTAAGGAAAGGAAGGCGGTGGTTACTTCCGGTCGGAGGGACACCCTAACTAGGAGAAAGAAGCCGCGCAGGCGCCGAGCGTTTTCTCGGTCTCCCCGACTTGTACCGACGGAGAAAAGCACCTTTGCGCGGAAGGCACCGGTAAAGCGGGAGGAGGGGAGAGAATAGAGAGAGACGTTTGGCGGGAGTGCCGCCCGAGGGAGGGGGAGGAGAAAAGCGCAAAAATAAGGACGGGTCGACGGCCACGGAGTAAAGTTACCCGGCCGGCGATATAAATAGTCGGGCGTCGAAAGTAAATTTTCCGACGTCAACGACGCTATTCCGGGGTAACCGCGCGGTATTAATAATTACCGAAAGTGGAGAAAGGCGAGAAGCTCTCCGCCGTCGTCGGCATAATTCGTTTATTATCGAAAGTAATTGCTACCGAGAAGCCGGCAGACGTTAACGTTAATATTGTTTACCGAAGAAAGGCGGAAGTAAAAGCTCCTTTTCCTCCGTTTTATAAATTATTTTCCGGACAAAACGCCGCCTAACCAGAAACTACCGTTTTACGCCGGCGGAAAGAACTATTGGAAATAACGCCTAGGGGAGGGCCGCCGGACGTTACCCGCAAACCACGTTCTCTCGGCCCGTGTAAAACGTTCTTCCGTAATCGGCGATTTAAAGGCAGAAATTGCCGCAAGTAATCCGGTCGGACGAAACTGTTTCTTTCGTTTTTGTAAAGTACAGTCGACCCCCTATAACACTGTTGATTTTTCTGTTTTATACGAATTCCATGTTGTATGAGTCACTTAGATTTTACAAATACATGTGCCAAGCTGTAAACCACTCACGTATTTGTAAAATCTAAGTTACTCGTACAACATGGAATTCATATAAAACGGAATAATCAACAGTGTTATAGGGGGTTGACTGTATAGAAAACGTCTGCCAATGCATCATTTTTAGTACGAGGATAATTTTCAAAAAGTTCGGGATTTAAACGCAATAATAATACAGTGGTACCTCAGGATACGAAATTAATCCGTTCCGAAACTGAGATCGTATCATGAAACTTTTGTAAGGTGGATCATCTTTTCCCATACGATTACATGTAAAACCAAATAATTCGTTCCAACGCGAAAAACATACTCAAATTAAAGCCAAGTAATACATTTAAAAAAATAACTGTAGTAAGAAAAACAAATGAAAAATACGAACTAATGTAACGTCGTATGGTGAGTTTTTGTTCGTATCGTGGAGCAAAAATATGCTCGAATTTCATGTCGTATCCTGAAAATTTCGTATGCTGGGGCGTTCGTAACCTGAGGTACCACTGTAATAATAACACAAGGCGACTGCGATAAAATGAGAGAGATATTTGAATTACGGACTGGGTGGAGATTTATTTCTTTATTCGATTATCCTCGTCCCGGTCATTGTTACCGTCAGCCTCCGTACTTTCCCCCTCTTTTGGCATTCAAGTCCGACACTACTTATAAGAGGGTCCGAGTCCGTCGTCGTAAGGCTACAAAACTCCGCCGGCACCAAAAAAGGAAATTTTAACCAAGTATCGACGCATCTTACGTCGCCGAGAAATGTTAACGTTTACCCGTCGGTTGTTTCCGTACGGCGCTCTTTTTTTGCATCGGTCGGAACGTACCGGACCACTTTTAGACGTTACGTAATGGCAAGCGCCAGCCAATCTTCTCCAAACTGGCAATTGGCTCCGCTCTTAAAATTTCCATCTCCGTCGCTAAGAAATTCATTTAATTAATTAAGAAAACGGTGGTAAAACAAATATACGCACCGGGACGACTAACTTAAATGTCGAATGCGGTTTGGCCTTTCGACGCGGACTATTGCCGGCCCGAAACTTAACCCGTATCGCAAAAATTGAAAGAAACGTAGCCTTAAAAATACGTAAAAATTTTGAAATATATTAAAACTAAGGATGCACCGATGTAGTTTCGTTTACCGTCGGTGGCAAATTACCCGTAAATCGGAAGACCGAGCAAAGATTGTCCGTTCCCGTTAGTTACCGGTAAATACGTAACCGTTTAGGATCCAGTAAGGCGCTTCCACCTACAAAAATCTTAATACCAACAACCGGGTGGCGAAAAAGTTGGCTATTCGTTTACCTTAGGATACGTCCCACAAACCGATTTAAGCGCGTTACCGAGTTGTGCCCGCGACGTACTCCAACTATCGAACCCCAACCGATTATATTACAGTAGAAACTTACGCCGTCAGCCCGGTCTAAGGAAGGAAGGAAGCGCAAATGTCGCGAACAAACCGTCGTCCGCCGACTCCACCGAATCCGATAATCGGGCCGGTCGTAGCGTTTCTGTAAGACAGATGTACGGTTTACCCGAGTCGTTCGTTTTAAAAGTCGATAAATTACATTTATTGATGAGATTTGGAAATATTCGTACGGGGCCGTCGGTAAATTACGTTCGCATTTTTCTCGAAATTTTTACTCCTCCTCCCCTCTTCGGAGGTCGGACAAAACTCGACTCTTCCGTAAGTAGAAATGAAACGCGAAAAATTTCGAAATATAACATATATAAACTAAAAATGTTGATGCGGTATACGGACGTCCACCCAAGCTCGATTCCCGCCCCCGTCCGACGTCTTAATCAATCTCCTTCCCACCCTTTCCGGTGTGGACGTCGTTTACCGATGGCCCCTACCAACGGTTATATATCATCCAGCGCGGGCGCTCCTCCATTTACAACAAAACTCCGGGGACCAATCGTCTACCCGAGTCCAGCGGCGCCCGTATATATTTCTTGTATTTTGTATTCCTTAATTTGGCCAAATAACAATTTAACTACCGGCATTTACTATTAAGATTACTTTAATATTTTTCGCAGCATTTTGACTATTTCATTTATTATTTACTAGCTGTACCCGGCCACGCCTTCCTCTGGCTCAAAATGTATCTACAGTAGAGCGTCGATTATCCGAAACATTTCCAGTCGGCAAATTTAAATTTTCGCCAGTGCTGTGGCGCTACAACCCTTGGCTGTCTTGGGCTACTGAAATATTTTGCGTTTTCCATACTAAATTAACTTCTGAAGTATAATTTTTTATTGTTTTTATATTTCTCAATATATTTATTTTGTTTGTACAAAATAAAAAAAATACTTTTTAACGATACAATAATCTTCGTTAGGCTTAACATCGACGAAAATTCGACGCGAAGCGACACGCAACGGAGAAAAATTTCAACATCGGATACGTTAAACTATTTTTTCGTACACAATCGGTTATCCGAACCACCCGTCTTCAATTGATTCGGATAATCGACGCTCTACTATATTATAAATGTATAACACTCCCCACGGGGGACTTTCGAAAAATCCTTTTTAGTGTACATTCTCTCGACGTACTCTACTAAAACGCGATCAAAAATACTTCTAAAATAGTATAATAGAAGCCCGGTTCCTGGCGGTAAGCCGAAATTTCGACATACGTACGTGTGGGACACTCTATATATCGGCGAAATTTACAATAAACTTTCACTTTGTAAGTTCCCGCGGCCTTAAATTCTTTCGGAACAGAATACAAACGCCCTTCGATGCGTCTGGTGTAGTTTATTCGATAAAGCGCAACAGTTGTGCCGGTAAAGACGGGAAACGAATTTTACTTACCTTAAAAGATATCTGCGTGGCCAGCTCGCGAGCTTCTTTGGAAGTGGCAGCAGTTTCCGGTCCCCGAGACCTCTCCAACAGCAGTCCCGCGATGGGCCCGCAGTGACTGCACGACCAAGAATGCGAACTGCAAGTTAAGAACGGAGATTTCAATGCGCGGATTAATTTTTATAATAAAGTATTTGTGAGAAAAATTATCCTCTTATTTAAACATTATCGATGTCATTCCATTCGCGTTTAATAAGGAAATATGTGAAAAATTCTGCAATTTTCCAAAAGCTCACTTTCTACCTAGTGGCAAAGTCTAAGAAGAATTTGACGTATCGTTTCGCGTGTTTATCAGATCGTATCTGGTGTTTTTGGTTTCTGCAAATCGAATTGGCATTCCAGGTCGGTTCATTAGGCGCTAGAAGAAATGACGACGATTCGCTCTCTTTAACAATGTGTATTGTATAATTTTCTTTGAATAAACGTTATACATAAAATATTTGAGTATTTTTTTCGGCACGGAACGCATTATCGTATTTTAAATGAATTTATATGGAAAAAATTGTTTCGCTGAACGAGTAAGATTCTGGAACGAATTATGCTCTTTAAGCCAGGTTCCGCTGTACCGCTGTAACTACGTATCATAAAATCATAAAATACTACAAGTACAATGAATAAATAATAAAAATAAGGAATAAACAAAACCACAAACGGCTAAATACTATAAAATATAGAAAGTACATAAAAAAACCTATCATTGGTACCAATTTTATTCTTCAGTCAGCGGATAAGTGATAAATATTGAATATCAATTAATAAATAATCAATCAATATTGATAAATTAAAGTATATTCATCTGTTAAAAATAAACAGTACAAGTAATTTTTTAAATTCCATAGTTTTAGTTTATAATAAAATGGAATAATAAGGTTAATTATTGAAAAAATTTAGCTAAAAACTCATTTTCAGACTACAGAAATAAGATTATTCAGTTTACTTCATAGTTTTGACCAAACAAGTAAAGTTCTAACTAAAAATGTTTATGCAAAATTTATACTTTATTTGGAAGAACCATCCGTAAAATATTTTATCTTAGAATCAAGTGTTAATTATAATGACTATAATTGTTTTAGAATATAGTAAATATTTATGAGTTTGCAAAGGCNGACGTACTCTACTAAAACGCGATCAAAAATACTTCTAAAATAGTATAATAGAAGCCCGGTTCCTGGCGGTAAGCCGAAATTTCGACATACGTACGTGTGGGACACTCTATATATCGGCGAAATTTACAATAAACTTTCACTTTGTAAGTTCCCGCGGCCTTAAATTCTTTCGGAACAGAATACAAACGCCCTTCGATGCGTCTGGTGTAGTTTATTCGATAAAGCGCAACAGTTGTGCCGGTAAAGACGGGAAACGAATTTTACTTACCTTAAAAGATATCTGCGTGGCCAGCTCGCGAGCTTCTTTGGAAGTGGCAGCAGTTTCCGGTCCCCGAGACCTCTCCAACAGCAGTCCCGCGATGGGCCCGCAGTGACTGCACGACCAAGAATGCGAACTGCAAGTTAAGAACGGAGATTTCAATGCGCGGATTAATTTTTATAAAGTATTTGTGAGAAAAATTATCCTCTTATTTAAACATTATCGATGTCATTCGATTGGCGTTTAATAAGGAAATATGTGAAAAATTCTGCAATTTTCCAAAAGCTCACTTTCTACCTAGTGGCAAAGTCTAAGAAGAATTTGAGGTATCGTTTGGCGTGTTTATCAGATCGTATCTGGTGTTTTTGGTTTCTGCAAATCGAATTGGCATTCCAGGTCGGTTCATTCGGCGCTAGAAGAAATGACGACGATTCGCTCTCTTTAACAATGTGTATTGTATAATTTTCTTTGAATAAACGTTATACATAAAATATTTGAGTATTTTTTTCGGCACGGAACGCATTATCGTATTTTAAATGAATTTATATGGAAAAAATTGTTTCGCTGAACGAGTAAGATTCTGGAACGAATTATGCTCTTTAAGCCAGGTTCCGCTGTACCGCTGTAACTACGTATCATAAAATCATAAAATACTACAAGTACAATGAATAAATAATAAAAATAAGGAATAAACAAAACCACAAACGGCTAAATACTATAAAATATAGAAAGTACATAAAAAAACCTATCATTGGTACCAATTTTATTCTTCAGTCAGCGGATAAGTGATAAATATTGAATATCAATTAATAAATAATCAATCAATATTGATAAATTAAAGTATATTCATCTGTTAAAAATAAACAGTAGAAGTAATTTTTTAAATTCCATAGTTTTAGTTTATAATAAAATGGAATAATAAGGTTAATTATTGAAAAAATTTAGCTAAAAACTCATTTTCAGACTACAGAAATAAGATTATTCAGTTTACTTCATAGTTTTGACCAAACAAGTAAAGTTCTAACTAAAAATGTTTATGCAAAATTTATACTTTATTTGGAAGAACCATCCGTAAAATATTTTATCTTAGAATCAAGTGTTAATTATAATGACTATAATTGTTTTAGAATATAGTAAATATTTATGAGTTTGCAAAGGCTTCCAATCTTATCATACTTCAGAAGTCTTCGCATTCGAGTTAATGTGGACAGAAAGATAAAAAAACAATCACACACTATATTTCAGCAATATTTACTTCATAAACGTTTTTGGTCTTCTTGAGTGGCCTGTATCACTTCTTATACATTGAAGATCAATAAACATTGTAAAATACAGCGTATAGAATGGATTGGTGTTCTAAAATATGACTGTTACTCTGAAAATTTTGCAAACGTTAAAAATCGTAGTAAATAAACCTTAGATTCGTTTACTATGATTTTTGTGATAGACTGAATGACGAAGATTGTTATGATTGATAGTGGCTGTTGGGGGATGATGCTCCGTCCTTTACTATTGCGTTTGGGTGGTATAAAAAATTTCAGAGAAGTCCTACTTCCTTCCGTCGTGAACCGTGTGAACGGCGACCACGAACGGCAGTGACTCCTAAAAGTGTATATGCTGTCCAATGTATGATTGCGTAAGACCAAAGATGTACTTAGGAAATGATACAGGAGAGACTATAGATTGGAGCCTCTGCAGTTGCAGACATTCTGCATAAGAAGTTATGGTTAAAAAAAAGCAGTGTCTCGACGAATTGACGTATTGCCAAATGCCTGACCCTGTCAGAATCTTTAAGAAAACTCTGAAAATGTTGAACTAAAGTGGACACCAGATTATTTCCAAGATTGTCATGGGTCGGGAGACATACGTACCATTTTTATGACTCTCACATGTCAAGCGTGTCAGGTATGGATCCATAGAGATGATCCAAATCCAACATCTGTGAAAAGGCAGATAGCGATACAAAAACATCATGTTTGCTGTTTTTTCTATAACACTGATCTGGCAAAAGCAGTTAAGCTTGGTAAACAGAGAATAGTAACAGCTAATCGGTACACTACAGTTTGTCTTCCTAGAATTCTGGAGTCAATGAAAACTTGAGGTCAAAATTTGCATCAAGATAATCCTTCATCACACACTCTCAAGAAGACTGTTGATTTCCTTCAAGTTAATAATATAAGAATCATTCAACATCCACTATATTCACCAGATTTGGCATTGTGTGACTTCTATTTTTTAATTTCAAAAACCATTTGAGGAGTTGCAAATTTAACACAGAGGATGAAATTGAAGCTTATGTAACAGAGTATTTTGATAGCATTCCATAAAATGAGTGGTGTCATGCTTTTGATTTTTTGGAACGAACAACTACATAAGTGCATTTTAGCCAGAGGAGAGTATTCTGAATATAAATTAAAAAATATTTTGTTTTAGGCCTTACAGTATTCGTGTATTGCAAAACTTTAAGAGTCACCCCCGATGTTACATAAATTTAACATTTGGAATATTATTATTCAAACAACAATAAATTTTATAATGTCCTCTGGACAAATACTATAAGAATTATATCTTTTAAAATATTAATTTAATAATAAACTAAAAGAACAATATAAATCTTAGCTGTTACTTTTCCATGGCTTATCAAAGATGATTCTCTGTGCAGATGACACAGTTTGGCAGTCTTTAAAATTAATGAGTTCTTTTTCATAGGTTCCTTAAAAATCTCTAGTTTTTCTAACGTTCCAATTTTATCTATTTGGAAAGACCATCCCACTACTTTGGCATCCCCTGGCTATGCAGTGTACTGTACATGGATAGAGCAGTGTTGAGTTTATTGGTATCAAGCTACCTATGCTACCTCATTCTTTTGTGTAAAGACCTTATGATGGAACTAACATATGTTAGTGTTCCTTTAAATCTATCATCAGTGATAGGTATATTGTAAATCCCTGGAGTTCTCATTGGTTCTGAGATGTCCTTTCCATTGTGCAGTATTTTACATATTATCATCATCATCAATGCCTTCTATGGATGTTAAAAATATTATTTTAGTCCTTCCAATCACTTCTCTGTCCTTTCAGTATAACAGACACTAAAACAAAGGTACAAATACACACAAAAAAAACCAAACTCGCAACTCTTGTCTACATGTCTTCTCTCAGTTTTCTTTTTTCCAAAAAGTCCTGCTTCCTCTGTTGAGCATGTGCGATATCCCTCTCTCCCTCCTTGATCTGGTTTTTCAGTCATCATCAAGAATGCCATCCCTTCTTTACTCTGTTGCCCACCCAAGGGGCTGGTTACAAGCTGGTTACACAAAAGAACACATGGTCTTCAGACCACAGTGATTAAAATTTTGTATACAGTGAAACCTCGCTTAATGAGCATAATTCGTTCCAGAATATTACTCAAAGTGAAACACTCATTAATCGAAACAATTTTTTCCATATAAATTAATGTAAAATGAGATAATGCATTCTATGCTGAAAAAAGAAATACTCAAATATTTTATGTATAACATTTATTCAAAGAAAATTATACAATATACATTGTTAAGCAATGTGAATCATCATCATCATCATCATTTCTTCTAGAGTGGAATGAACCAACCTGGAATACAAATTCAATTTAAAAAAAAAAAAAAAAAAGAAATACAGTGGGTGATTGGTTAACGAACATTATCAGTTCCAAGATTTTGTTCACTATCCAAAATTGTTCGTAAACTGATTATCGATTTACCATAGGTTTTTATGGGAATTTGATTAATTTGTTCTGGAGACCTCAAAAAATAAAAAAATATATACTTTCTTACTACGTTCATTTATATGTAATAATAAAAATACATATACACACAGTCTTGCATTATTATTAGTCATGTTTTTTCNGATTATCGATTTACCATAGGTTTTTATGGGAATTTGATTAATTTGTTCTGGAGACCTCAAAAAATAAAAAAATATATACTTTCTTACTACGTTCATTTATATGTAATAATAAAAATACATATACACACAGTCTTGCATTATTATTAGTCATGTTTTTTCCATTTGTGGGGGTTAAAGAATCTGTCCAATGTGGATTGCCTTTCTCTCTTCAGGATTTTCAGAAGTAATTAATAGCATTGTAATTGTAGTGATCCCAAAGCCTATTAACCTCAACCTGGTACCCTCAATCGGTATTCATTATTTTACGTCACTTCTTGTGTTTGTTCTGTGAGGTGTTTGTTGTCCAAACATAAAAATCTTTCACAAAAGTGTTCATTATCCGATTTGTTTGGTAACTGATCACCCTCTGTATTTAATTATAGCCTTTACATAGCCCAAGAATTTGGCATATCTTTTGACATGTTTATTATATAATGGGCTATAGTTGTTGATGTTTATATGTAATATGTCTGAATGCTAGTTTGGAAAAATCTGCGATCACAAGCGACAATAAGATGTTAGCGGAACAAGTGCTAAACACAGACTGACGTGGCAAACACATAATCCGGGATTTTCCTTCTCCTGGTCACACAAAATGTTGCTTGTTAAGCAAGTAATTTTTTTTACAATTTGCTCTGCTTATTATGTGAATTACTCATTACGGAAGGTGATTGTTAAGCAAAGCTTTTCTGTATTTGTTGTATTTTGAAGTTATGCAATATTGGTTTCCACATAATCCAATTTATAAGGAAACTGCCAGTTAAGTATTAGGTCATAGTCAACAATCACATGTGTAGTGATGGTAGATGGTTGGTTTTGTGTGTTGGAGAGAGATTGCACCCTTGTGTCATGTGTGAATGTTCTTGTGAGTTTTTGAGTAGTTGTGTTGTTGAGTAATATCCTCTTTGTGTTTTAGTTCTTCAAGAATATCTATAATATTGTTACAATGTGTATATGCCCTCTTTATCAATGCCCTGAATGTTATGTGTTTATATTTAATGGGGTCTATACAGCATGAATGGATGAACTATGGTTGAAAGTTTGGTTGTAATATACTTTTGTACAAATATTGCTGTCTCTGAATTGTATATTTGGGTCCAAAAATGTGCTGTAACATTATAGTCTGACCAACTCAAGAAGGCATTGGACTAGTTTACTAACCATTTGCAGAGATGATATATAACAGGAATCAGCTGGTATCTGGTTAACATACCTT